TATGCCCAGTCGGTGTTGCTCAGTGGTTGAGAGTTGACCTATGCACCAGGAGGTCACCAGTTCAATTCCCAGTCAGGGCACATGCCCAGGTTGTGGGCCCAATCCCCAGTGGGAGGCATGCAAGAGGTGACAATCGATGTTCTCTCATTGATGTTTCTATCTCTCTCTCCCTCTCCCTTTCTCTCTAAAATCAATAAAGGGAAAAAAAAAATACAATTGCCCAGTGGTTAGAGCGTTGGCACGAAGACCAAAGAATGGCAGATATGATTCCGGTCAAGGGCATGTACCTCGACTGCGCAGTGGCCCAGGTCAGGGTCGCGGGAGGCAACCAATCGATGCGTCTCTCTCACACGGATGTTTCTCCCCCCCCCCCCCGCACTCTGACTGAAGATAAATGGAAAAAGTATCCTCAGGTGAGGATTTAAAAAAAAAAACAATCGCCCAGCCAGTGTGGCTCAGTGGTTTAGTGTCAATATACCAAGAGGTCGCTGGTTTGATTCCCGGTCAGGGCATGTGCCCAGGCTGTGGGGCCCGATCCCTAGTGGGGGGCATGCAGGAGGCAGCCAATCAATATTCTCTCTCATCAATGTTTCTGACTCTCTCTCCCGTTCCCTTCCTCTCTCTCTAAAATCAATAAAGAAAAATAAAATAATAAATTATAATACAAGAATATACTCTGTTTTGTGTACTCGAAACTATAAACCTACTTTTGCCTCACCATGTATTTACAAAGCACTTTAAAACCATGTCTGACACATAGCAAATGCTTTGTATTTACAAAATGAAATAGTATAGTCATTTTCTCACACCTTTCAGTGTAAGGTTTACTCATATTTTTAGCTAACCCTGCAGCTTAGAATAAACTAAAGAAATCAGAAAAGGTGGTTGTTGTTGTTTTTTAATTTTTATTGATTTTTTTTTAAATCCTCACTGGAGGACATTTTTGTTCAGATAGAGTGGGAGGGAGAGGGGTGTGTGTGTGTGGGGGGGAAGAGAGAGAGAAATATTGATGTGAAAGAACACATTGAGTGGCTGCCTCTCTCAAAGCCAAACAACTACTGTTTCCCTTTCCTTCTCCATATTTAGAATAACACTCAAGCTACTTAGCTAAAAGCCTGATTTTAAGGCTCCAATAAGGATACGTGTAAAGGAATTTGAAAGCCTTGCTATTTGAAATATGGCTGCTTAGCCAATAGCATTAGCATTACTTGGAAATTCTTAGAAATGCAGAATCTTGGGCCTCACTTCAGACCTATGGAATCTAAGTCTGCCCTTTAACAAGCTCACTAGGTGAGTCACATGAACAATAAAGTTTGAGACACACTCATGGTCCAAAGTGTTAAGCAAGAGAGCAAAAGGGTAGAATGTAATGAGCCTGGGATTTGGAGTTATCATGGATCAAGTCCTAAATCCAGATCCTGCCACTATCCTGCTGTGTTATCTGGTATGACCTAACTTCTGTGGGAGAGGAAGAAACTTTCTTCTACCTTCCTAGGTTCTTTAGGCTCATCTAATAATTAAATCAATGAGAGACAGATTAATGAGAAAAAATAACCAAATTTAATACATACGTACACAGCCCTGGCCAATTTTGCTCAGTGGTTAGAGCGTCGGCCCACAGACCAAAGAGTCAAGGGTTCGATTCTGGCCAAGGGCACATGCCTCGGTTGCAGTACATCCCTGGCCCTGGTCAGAGTCGTGCGGGAGGTAGCCAATCGATTTGTCTCTCTCACATCGATGTTTCTCTCTCTCCCCTGCTCCCACTCTATCTGAAGATATTTGAAAAAATACCCTTGGGTGAGGATAAAAAACAACATATGTACACATACACATGGGAACCCCACATATATGAGAGAGTCAGAGACCCTACATACACAAGAGGTTCAAAGATAGAAAAGGAAAATCAGGTATATTTGACATTCTGAGCTAAGGATCACCTTGGGGATTCAGAGGGGAGAAAGATGATAAGAGCATATGTTCATGCTTTGGCCAGTGTTACTCAGTGGTTAGAGCATCAGCCCAAGCACCAAAGGGTTTTGGGTTCAATTCCTGGTCTCTTCTCCCCCCACTCCACTCTCTCTAAAAATCAATGAAAAAATAATCCTCAGTTTATTGTTGAAGATTAACAACAAAAAGAACAGATGTTCAGTAATTAGAAAGTTTGCCCTGCCCTATAGATAGGGCATAAAAAGTCATTTCTGGTGATTATTATGGGCAAGGCCCCTGATTTAAATTCTTTAAAGAAGTAAATTTCTTTCTTTCTTTTTTTTTTTAATCCTCACCCGAGGACATTTTTCCATTTTCTGTACAGACAGAGTGGGAGGGAGAGAGAGGAAGAGACAGAGAGAGAGAAACATCGACGTGAAAGGGACACATCGAGTGGCTGCCACCGCACGACCAACCAGGGCCGGGGACAAACCGCAACCGAAGTACGTGCCCTTAGCGGGAACCAAACCCGGGTCTCTCCGGACCGCAGGCCGATGCTCTAACCGCTGAGCCAAACTGGCCAGGGCAGAAGTAAATTTCTTGTCGGCCTACAGTCCTGATGGCCTTCAGCTCACAATAATTTTCATGCCAAAGTGGTACATTTTGATGAGGCCAGTTCTGAAATCCTATTTTTATTTATTATTATTATTTTTTTATCTTCACCCGAGGACATTTTTCCATTTTTTGATCAGAGAGAGTAGGAGGGAGAGAGAGGAAAAAAAGAGAGAAACATCAACGTGAAAGAGACATCAAGTGGCTGCTTCCCACTCAACCCAACCAGGGCTGGAGACAAACTGCAACCAAGGTACGTGCCCTTAGCCTTAGCCGGAATTGAACCTGGGTCTCTGAACCACAGGCCGACGTGCTAACCATTGAGAAACCGGCCAGGGCTGAAACTATATTTTTAAGTCTGTTTTCACATCTCTAAATTTGTAATAATAAAGTCAATTTCAGGGTAGACAAATAGACTATAGTATAAAATAATCTGCATGAGAGCCTCTTGAGCAGTGCTTTCTCCATAGCTGAGTTCAATAAGTATTTGTTTCTTAGAACCATGTTGGCCTATTACCTACTACCTCAAGTGTCACAGCTCTTTCCTGTAGTTGGATCCCTAGAAAGAGGTAGTCAAGCTTGAGGAAGGGATGAATGGATAATTCCCTCCAGCTTGGAACAGAAAAAAAAGGCCGCAATATTTCCTTTTTAAGGGCCTCTTGACCAAGAGGGAAGGAGTCAGAGAGAGGAAACATTTAACTAACGGCAATCTCCACCATCACAGCAAATGATTCTAGACAGGAGATAATTCTAGGCTGGAGGACTGTCACATCCAAGGCTACACACCTCATTTCATCTATCCCTTGGCTGCCCAAGAAAGCTGCTGAATAGCTTTGAACAGTACAATTCAGGCTATACGCACTGATAGCACAGGCAGATTATAAACCTCTGAATCATCCTGATTTTCACCTTCCAGCTCCTCTCCCAATTTTGGAGGTGTGGCAACTGGGCTTTTGGTTTCTGGTTGCATGCTACGTGTAGAGTCACCCTACTAGGAAGAGCAGCTGTCAGGTTAATCAGGGAGTCACCTCACTCAATAGGTCACAGCTCCTCCATGGAGAGATAGAAAGAGCTGCTTCCAAAGATAAGGACCTGACTCACAATGTCTGACAGCTAGGACACACAATCACTAACAGGCTTTTTCTTCTTTTTTTTTTATCCCCACCTGAGGACATTTTTGCATAGAATGAGAGGAAGAAAGAGAGAGAGAAACATCGATGTGAAAGAGACACATAGACTGGCTGCCACCCACAGGACCCCAACCGGGGCAGGGAAAAACCGCAACCAAGGCACGTGCCCTTAGCGGGAACCGAACCCGGGTCTCTCTGGACTGCAGGCTGACGCTCTAACTGCTGAGCCAAATTGGCCAGGACACTAACAGGCTTTTTCAAACCTCCTGCCACCCTTAGAAAGAACTCTGCTAGTGAGTTTGCTATTATTGATAGAAGTCGGCTGTAGCTCTCAAATGTGCTAGGATGGAAAAATACAATAAAAATAACCTCTATCTTAAAGGCCAACAGAGAAAAAGTACTAATAGTACATGCAGAAAATTCTGCCAAAGACTTGCCTATAATACTTTGGGTATTTCTGGAATAGGGTATTGGCCAAATCACTTATCAAAAATCAATTAAGCCCTGGCCAGTTTGACTCAGCAGTTGGAGTATCGGCCTGCAGTCCAGAGAGACCCGGATTCAGTTCCTGCTAAGGGCACGTACCTTGGTTGTACTTTGTCCCCGGCCCTGGTTGGGTTGTGCAGGAGGCAGCCACTCGATGTGTTCCTTTCCCATCGATGTTTCTCTCTCTCTCCCTATCTTCTATTCTATAGAATCTTCTATTCTATCTGAACAAAATGGAAAAATGTCATCGGATGAAAACTAAAAAAAAAAGCTTGAGAGAGCCCTGGCCAGTTTGGCTCAGCAGTTAGAGCGTTGGCCTGAGGTCCAGAGAGACCTGGGTTCGGTCCCCACTAAGGGCACATACTTCAGTTGCAGTTTGTCCCCGGCCCTAGTTGGGGTTGTGTGGGTGGCAACCACTCGATGTATCTCTCTCACATTGATGTTTATCTCTCTTTCTTCCTCCCTCTCTCCCTCCCGCTCTATCTGAAGATGAATGCAAAAATGTCCCCGGGTGAGGATTAAAAAAAAAAGCTTGAGAGAGCCTGGCTGGTGTGCCTAAGTGGATTCAGTGTCATTTTATGCACCAAGAGATCACTGGTTCGATTCCCAGTCAGGAAACATGCCCCAGTTGCTGGCTCGATCCCCAATGCGGGGCGTGCAGGAGGCAGCCGATCAATGGTTCTCTGCCACATTGATGTTTCTATCTCTCTCTCTCCCTATCCCTTCCTCTCTCTCTAAAAAATATAAACAAAAAAAAAAAAATCTGAAAAAATTATAAAAGCATGAGAGAGATGCTCTGAGTTTAATAGAGCCCTACTCCTTCACCAGCAAAAGATCAAAACTTACCAAGCTAGCAGAACTGGCTAAATTGATGAAGCAAACATAATGCACTAATAACTGCTAGATGAAATCTTGTGCTACAAAGGTTTCTGATGTAGAAGGAACAACCTGCATTAAGGGGAAAAGAACACACATAGGACAAAGGCTCCTCTCTCCCCAGAACCAGGTCAGAGAACTAAAGCCATTTAACATCTGTGTTTCACAATGGTGATATTAGAAGTCTGCCTGAACTTAATAGGGCACTTAATAGTCTAAGCAGAGTAATCAAATTTCATACTTTGACTCCCTTCATACTCACAATTTCCTTATTTACCCTACCTCTCATTTTCTTTTTCTTTTTCTTTTTTTAGCCTCACCTGAGGACATTTTTACATTTCTCTTCAGATAGAGCTGAAGGGAGGGGTGGAGGAAGAGAGAAACATCGATGTGAGAGAGACACATCGACTGGTTGCCACCCACACGACCCCAACCGGGGTCGGGGACAAACTGCAACCCAGGTACATGCCCTTAGTGGGAACTGAACTTGGGTCTCTCTGGTCCATGGGCTGTCACTCTAACTAACCACTGACCCAAACCAGCCAAGGCCTACCTCTCATTTTCTAACAGATTCTTCCCTAAAGGTGTGCTGCCATTCAGCAAAACACCAATTCAGCTTCAGAAAAGAATCAAGAGTTCTAATTCTCCTTTCAGTAAGAATTCTTACTGTTCTTTAACAAATATATGCTGAACCACTAAGAGTACATTAGTTAATAAAGTATATAGGATCTGTTACCTTACTCCTCTCAGAAGCTAGAAACTGTTCCCTCACTTCTAGAAGTTCTTACAAGTTTTAGCTCCTAATGCTTTGCTAGAGGGATTTACAAGAAACTTATCCTAAGGTATTTGAAGAAAAAAAAAAATCATCAATCAACTGAGGTGCTTGAAAAAATACAAGTCTCCAGATCCCAATACAACTTAGCTGGATTAGAATCTAAAGGTAGGAGTCACAAATGTGCAATCTAATCAAGCATCCAAGATGATGATGTCCACTGTAACCTTAGACCTTTTAAAATATCATGTTAAGCCCTGGCCGGTTTGGCTCAGCGGTTGGAGCGTCGGCCTGCGGTAGAGAGAGACCTGGGTTCGGTTCCCGCTAAGGGCACGTACCTCGGTTGCAGTTTGTCCCCGGCCCTGGTTGGTCGTGCGGGTGGCAGCCACTCGATGTGTCCCTTCACATCGATGTTTCTCTCTCTCTCTCTTCCTCTCTCTCCCTCCCGCTCTATCTGAACAAAAAATGGAAAAATGTCCCCGGGTGAGGATAAAAAAATAAATAAATAAAATAAAATATCATGTTAAGCCCAGCTGGTGTGGCTCAGTGGTTGAGCATCGACTCATGCACCAAGAGGTCGCCAGTTTGATTCCCGGTCAGGGCACATGCCCAGGTTGTGGGCCCGGTCCCGAGTGGGGGGCATGCAGGAGGTGGCCAGTCGATGTTCTCTCTCATTGATGTTTCTATCTCTCTTTCCCTTTCCCTTCCTCTCTCTAAAATCAATAAAAAATAAAAAAATAAAGACAGAAGCCCCATCCCCCGTTTAAAAATAAAATAAAATATCATGTTAAAAGAAATACAGGAATCCAAGGAATTCAGACAGTTGAGGGAAGAACTGAAAGAAAGTCAAAGTCATATCCTAAGGAAAATCCATTGCTAAAGTTGCTTCACTCCTGTTTCAAATGTCACATCCTACTCAACTCTATCATACAAAGCACTGAAACAGGGCAGAAGGAATTAGTGTGTGCTTTTAGCAAAATCCACCAAGTCTGGTTTCCTGCCCTTTGCCCAAATGGATTCTAAGAAGTAGGAATGCCCCCCTTTCCTTCTTTGATTATCTATGTCACCTTGCCTCCCCACACCCAGGCATCCACCTGCTACCAATCTAAAGGCCACTAGGAAGAACAGATGCAATCATCCCACCACTAGCACATGATGAAGATTGACTACCCATTTTCCATCTCTGTCCATGTAGTAAGCATCAAAGAAATGCCATTAGTTTGGGTAGGCTGATAATCAAAGTGAAGGCACAGAGATTTGAGCGTTTGCTTTAAAAAGTTTTGGGCTTGTCCTGGCTGGTTATCTCAGCAGTTAGAGCATCAGCCCACAGACCAAAGAGTCTCAGGTTCGATTTTGGTCAAGGGCACATACCTCAATTACAGTTCGATCCCCGGCTCTGGTCAGGGTCATGTGGAAGGCAACCAGTCGATGTGTCCCCCTCACATCAACGTCTCCCTTTCTTTCTCTCTCTCTCCCCCTCTCCTCCTCTACCTGAAGATCAATAGAAAAATATTCTCGAAAGAGGATTGAAAAAAAAAAAAAAGTTTTGGGCTTTAACCCTGGCCAGTTTGAAGCAGTTGGAGCATCGGCCTGTGGACCACAGAGTCTTGGGTTCAATTCTGGTCAAAGGCACGTACCTTGGTCGCAGTTCCGTCCCCAGCCCTGGTTGGGTCATGTGGGAGGCACCCAGTTGATGTGTCTCTCTCACATCAGTGTTTCCCTCCCTCTTTCCCTCAATCCCACTCTACCTGAACAAAAAATGGAAAAATGTCCTTGGGTGAGGATAAAACAAACAAACGAACGAACAAAAAAAAAGAGTCTATACACGGCTCTGGGTGAGTAGCTCAGGTGGTTAGAGCATCATCCAAATAAACCAAGGTTTCGGTTCAATCCCAGGTCAGGGCACATACAAGAAGCAACCGATGAATGCATAAATACATGGAACAACAAGTCGATGTTTCTCTTTCTCTCCCTCCCTCCCCTTTTCTCCTTAAAACATATATTTTTAAGAGTCCAGAAATGAACAGGTGACTCCACTCCAATTTCCAGCCCAAATCCAAACCCAGATCACCTGTGGAAAGACAGTATTTACATCACAAAGCTAAGCCACCAGGAGCTAATACTAAAGCCACTTCTTCCTTTTTTTTTGTTATCCTCACCTGAGGACATTTTTGCATTTATCTTCAGCTACAGCAGGAGGGAAAGAAGGGGTAAGAGAGAGAGAGAAACATAGATGTGAGATAAGTCGAGTGGTTGCCACCCACACGACCCCAATTGGGGTGGGGACAAACTGCAACTGAGGCATGTCCCCTTAGTGGGAACTGAACCTGGGACTCTCTGGTCTGCACGCCAATGCTCTAACCGCTGAGCCAAACTGGCCAGGGCTAAAGCCACTTCCTAGTATGAATTCATGTTAACAAGAAGTCAATCTGAAGGCTCTGAATTAGGCTGGCTCTCCTACTCGGGTGTTCATTAAATTACACGGTCATGAGTAGGGTGAAACAATGGAATAACTAACATTTGTGTCTCCTGGCAAAGTTTTAAAAAAATCTCTTCTCAGAAAAGTGAAACTATATCTAACCTTGAGAATCAAAGTAGTAAGGTTCAGTTCTCCCAGGTCAGAAGGCTATTTTGGCCTTCTAAAGCCTACTTTCATAGCAAAAGTAAAATCAAGCACCAAGGAAGCTGCAGGCTAATCTGGAAAGCTCAGGCAGGTGCTGGCAATGCTGACAAACTGAAAGGCTTCTTGGTATCCTGGTCTTTCTGCTTAGATATCAGGAAATGTTCAGTCCTGAATCAGTTGAGCTTTGCTAGCTTTAAGGGTCAAAAGCCTTCGAATGGCTTCCTATTTACAGGTTTCTGGGATTCTCAAGTCCATCTGTTATAGGAAAATAAACAAAATAAAAACAATACTAGTTACATAGCCCTGTCATCCCAAAAGATTTCTGAGCTTCCCCAAAGGCTTAGGAGACAAAATAAATTTGAAAGATAAATTTTAATTCACTACAGGGTTCGACCATCTGGTCTGGGTTAGCAGCTCTGCAATGAGCTAATTATGGTGTCCCCTATTCTGCCAAAACTATCTAGAACTTGCTTCATGTCCCAAGAGACTTCCTTACCCTGTTCCCTGAGAGGAGGAGAAGCAACAGTCAAGTAAGACAAGTATCTCCCAAATGATTAGTGGCCACCCAGTGTAAATCCTACAGGCTTCACCTCTTCTGCCAACCATGCCAGATAACACATAACAAGCCAAAAACCATCCTAAGATTTTCCTTAACCGCAGGTATTGGCAGCTTTAGTCTGTCTGCACAAGAGAAAGCATAAGTTCTTCGCAGGAGTCAAGGTCACTTGTGGGACTGTCCCTGCTTGGAACAGAGGGCTGGGACTCCCTCAGCACAGCCGTTTCTCTGTTTAAAGGGCCATGTTACCAAAAGACAAAAGTACTGGCAATTTGAAATTGAAAGCACCATCACCTGCAACAATACTCCTATGATTCAAAAGGCAACAAAAGTCAAGTAAAGGGCCCCCCCAAAACGAGAAAAATCTCTCCTGGGTAGAGTAGATTTAAGAGCAACAGCAAAACCTGGGTGATCAAGTAGCAGGATTGGTTTTATGACCTTGGGATTACTACATCCTGACAAGTATCTCTTCATTTAATGGCCTGCTGCCTGGAGGAACCGTCCTTCTGGCTCTTTCTTCAATCATATATGATAATCATGCATGTTTTACAGAGGTGCTCCACCCCATTCAGGCCCTTCTATAAAAAGAGTAAATGGAAGAATCCCAAGGACAAAGAGGACCCGAATCTCAATCCTCTACCAGGAACTGCTATAGTTTGGTCATTAATGGCTTAAATAATTGGGGTGAAGAAATGGAAAATAGGCAGCCAGGAACTGACAAGACCCTCCCTATGAAGCAGAAGCCGAAATTAACCACCGATTCAGCTCTGGCCAGGTAAAGTGAGCACATCTGTTCACCTAGCCAATCCTTTTACACCCACACCCACCCCCTCCCCCTCCTTCAAACAGACTCTTTCCCTAACTCAGATGGAACACACCTATATTCTCTACTAGCGAGGGGCCGGAAGGCCAGTGTAGCACATGGAGCTCCCAGCAAGGCTGGCGGCCAGCCAAGTGCAGGGCCCCTTTAAGGCGCGCTAGGGTGCGTATGGGTAGAGGAGGGAGACCCCGGGACTTGAGGGCCCGCAGTCGCCTCAGCCCCACCCTAGGACGGTGCGCTCCCTCCTTCAGTTGCTCACCTTGGCTCCGATGAGCCGGGCGGCTGCAGTGAGTAAAGCCAT